GCTCCCCAGTGGCACGGCGCCGCGCAAACGCACTTTCCACCAAGGCTGCGCAAATCCCAATGGCACTGCGACATCACGAACGTCGTCGCCACACGGTCTGCCCACACACTATAAGAAGTCAGGGCTTCGATGCCACACCCTGAAACGCAAATCCCAATGGCACGGCCACATCCAACACCCCAAAAACACGACTCTCCAAACGCTAATCCCAATGGAGCTGTGCAGAAAACAAAGGATCTCACAAAACGCTGCGCCTGTGCAGTGAAATCATCCTCCATACTTCAACATCTTACATTTCCACACGATTCCTTGCTATTTCACACGAATCTGACACGTCACGTTTTCATCCGAAACCCTCTCCAAAAGCTTCCCCCAACGGCAGCACCTTAGCGCTCTACTGCGAACGGTTGCGAACGGTTGCGGACGGTCGCGGACGGTTGCGGACGGTTGCGAACTTAGAAACAACGGGCCGCGAACAAGGCTCTGTTAAACGAGAACCCTTCGCTACGCATTCGGGAGAAACTCGCAAACAACATCCATTTTGATGACTTTTTGGTTTGGTGGAAGTCCATTGACAAACGAGCACTGAAGCGTCACAAGAACTGTCATATACATGCTTTACGTCAAACTACACCACAGGGTGGCCCGAACGCACAGTACGAGATGACACAAGGTCAAAAGCGAGCTTGCGGCGAAGTCGCAGCGAGGTGCCTTTTCGAAACCTTGTGCCAAGAGCGCTCTGTGCGCGGCGGGGTTCAAGCACAACCTCTCATGAGTGACCGGCTGGACTGCTATGCTGCTGTTTCTTTACAAATTCACACCCCTCCTCAGCCAGATCACTCGTTCGAGATTCTGCTTCATGCGCAGCCTTTTTGGCTGACTTTCGTCGCTGACGACCAGCGCGGATGCCCAGCTTCCGGAGCTTTGCTTCTTCTGATGGCTCAAGCTGCCATCTTCCCTCTTCCATCGCCCGCAGGAGCGGAGTGCGCTCACATCCAGCTTTTGTGAGAACGTCGGCCAGCATTTGTGACGTGTCGCACCAGATGACGTACTGCTCGTCATCCACGTAGGAGCCATAGCCAAGAAGATCTTTTATTTGGGCCACTAGGATCTTCACCCGTTTGTCTGTTGGTTGTCCTGCATCTTTCACGATCGTTGACTCCAGCGATTTGGCGTCCGTGAACGCCAAGAGGATGCCCTTCTTGTACTCCTGGACGTCCTGGACGGATGTTCCAGGGAACTTCATCTCCATCAGCAATGAGCGGACATAGTCGCCAGCCTCAGTCGCCATGAGAAAGGCGTTGGCCTCTGCCGCGAGTGTTGAGCGGCACACCCGCTTGATTGACCCAGAGTAGGTCTCAAGCAGCATGATCGGGGCGCTTGCCCCTGACTTGATCTCCTCAGTGGTTAGCACCACTATGTAGCCACACTGGGACTTCATGTTCTGGGAGTTCGCGAAGCTGCTGTCAGCGAAGACGGCGACAATGATGTTGTCCCAGGTCATTTCCTGGTGCTTCACGAACCTGTACTTGTTGTCGCAGGTGTCCTTGAGCATCTTCACTGCTTTGTTCAGCTCGACCACATCCTTGATGGCCGGACTCGCCATGGTCTGTGAGGCGAGGCTCTTGACTTGGAGATCAGGTCGCGTCTGCCTCGTGATCCAGCCAAGGGACCCAATCAAGCCCCTGAAGTCGGTCTTCTCCGCCGCTGTCAATGAGGCGTTTGGCATCTTCCTCCGCTCCTTGTCAACGACCATGTACTCGACGCCCTCAATAGCGTCGTACTGGTCCAGGTCGATGGAGTTGGAGGTGACCTTGACATTCTTACCACAGAAGCGGAAGTCATTCTTGTGGACCTTCAGGTAGAGCTTCACTTCAAGCTTGTCGCCGGTGCCAGTGCAGAAGAGGTCATCAACATGCGAAGCCATGACACCGATGAGCTTGTTTTCCTCAAACAAGTAAAACAGGGCGGCTTCATACTTTGACATTTGCCATCCATGTTCTTGTACTGTTTTGAAGAGCTTCTTCCACCAGGATCTGCCTGCATCCTTCGTGCCATAGATGGAGCCTTTGGCACGGAAAAGATCCATTGGCGATACGCCTGGCGGTGGAGGTCGTGGTGGTCGTGGTGGTCGTAGGATGAGAAGCCAGCTGATACCTGAGGATTGAAGGTATGCCGTTGAAGCATCACAAGCCCAAACTGCCCAATCATGTAGGACGGCTACGGAGCAGATCAGGTTGAAGGCCAGGAGACTTGCTGTAGGTGAGTCTGTCCTGATGCTGATGCCATCATGACCTTCTTCTTGGTGGCCTTGGACGACCATTCTTGACTTTGCCTCGAAGGGGAACTCCTTCTTGATTTGGTCGGGAGTCTTCTCGGTGCGCTTGGACATGGCAGCAGCTAGGAGACGTGGCCTCTTGTTCTTGTCGGTGTGGGCCCACCGCGTGCCGACGATGGGAGTGTCGTCTGGTAGGTCTTGTACTTGTTGTTCAGTGAGGATCTCCACTGCTCCAAATTTCTGCCCAGACGCCCATTCCTTGGCCATGGAGGCGTCGAAGAGTGCACGATCTGACTCGGAGAGCTTGTAGATGTCAATCTCCCCGCGAGCAGCTGCCTTGCCAGTGAGGAAGGCGTCATGGCCCATCTCTTCAATCTTTGGGTTGTGGAGCCAGGAAGCTGGTGCATCATCTTCGAGCTGCGAAACTTCGGAATCAGACTGGATCACTGCCAGCCTTTTGAGCTTTGATTGGAGCACCTTGTCATTCATGTCCGGGAAAACCTCAGCAGGACCTTCAGTGAAGTAAGGCCCAGGGATGGTGCCAGACCTGTTGTGATGTCGGGCTGGTCCATCGCCATACGGTGGTAGTCCATCAAGTCGGTCAGGCGTTCTGAGTGCCTGATGTAGTTGACCTTGTCCCGGATGGCTCACATGTACAGGAGGAGTGACTGGGACATATGCAAAGGGTCCGGCTGATGATGGTGCTCCATGATGTTGTTCTGGACCACTTGACGGCTGCCTTGCTCTTGTTCTGGTTCTCCTGTGGTACGGTGAGCTTTGGTCGGAGAGACCGGATCATCCTTCCCATCTGGTTCATCACTCCGCCAAGTGGTAGCGGAGAGAGATTCCCAGCAGCAGTTGGGGGAGGCCCGTCGGGCTGATCATGTAGTTCATCTGGCGCCGGAACATCACCTTGCTGTTCTTCAGCAGGAAGATCTGGTACTGCAAGGGCATAAGGACGAAGGTCCACATAGTTTCTGGCTCCTTTGGTGAACTCTGGCTCAATGATGTGCTGAGGGATGGCGTGAACTGCCACAAGCTCATCTTCACTTGCAAACCTGAGTTGTTCACCAGTAGTCAGGATGACGGAGGGACCATATCTGAGCCAGTATGAATGCGGTTGATGACCTTCAGTAGTTGGCTCTTCATCATCAGCCACGCGTCTGGGGTTTCTGACTTCTACCCCAATGACCCGAGCAGGACCATTCCATTTGAAGTCTCGTTCATCGGCACCTTGTTGTCGAAGGAAGTAGACGTATGCGCCGATGGGATGTAGGCGTTGACTGGTGGAGTAGAGCACGCCGGACGCGGTTGTCTGTATCCAGTCTGACTTGAGCGACACGGGCAGCTTCTCTGATCGAGAGGTTCTTGGCCATAGCGGACTGAGGATCTTCTGCTGCCTCGATGAGATCAAGTCGCTCTTGATCTTGTTCCAGCATCAGGGATCCGGGGATCCGGACTTCGGGCATGCCAAGTACCCACTGGTTCGGGGCATAGCCATTTGCACGAGGATGTGCATTTCTGATCTGTGTGACGATGGTGGTCGCGGTGATCATGTCTTGTAGACCTTGGGTCTGACTTTCTTGGACCAC